AAAAAATAACAAGATCTTGGCATTTGCAGGGAAATGGATGGCATTAGAGCAGATTATGCTAAGTGAAGTTAGCCAATCCCTAAAAAACAAAGGCCGAATGTCTTCTCTGATATAAGGGGGGTGACTCAAAATGGGGTAGGGAGGAAGAGCATGAGAAGAAGACTACCACTAAATAGGGAAGAGAAGTGGGAGGAAAAGGGAGGAGAAGGGGAATTGCACAGAAGATGGAAGGAAACCCTCATTGTTATACAGAATACATGTATGACGATGTGAGGGGGGAAAAAAAAAGAAGGGTGTCACATTAGATAGTGTAGAGAGAAGTGATGGGAGGGGAGGGGAGGGCAAGGGGAGAAAGGAAGGACAGCAGAATAAAACAGACATTATTATTGCTGTGGGTATATATGTGACTGCATGACCAATGTGATTCTGCAACCTGTACACTCAGAAAAATGAAAATTAGACCCCATCTGATTCAAATGTATGATGTGTTGAGACCATTGTACTGTCATGTGTAACTATTAAAACAAATTTAAAAAAGTAGTACCTGGAACAAGAAACATTTGTTGTTTTAATGAACTAATGAAACACAAACAATATGTGAATGACCCCTAAGGGCCAGAATGGAGTTGCATGTCTCAAGAATCCCATGTGTCATAAAGTGTTTTTGTGTGATAGGTGACTCCTGCTCTAAATCAAACTATTATTTTTACTTTGTATAATAAATTTTTACTTTCATTTTCTARAAAAATAAAACAAAACAAAAAACCAGTTAAAGATTATCACTGTTAGGTACTTAACTAGGAGTATATCATTTAATCCTTGTGACAACTCTTAAAATAGGTACTATTAACCTAATTTTATAGATTAGTTAACAGTCTTGGGGAGGTCCATAACTCTTATACAGCATATGATTAAATCTGTCTTAGTCCCAAACCCACAATCGTTCAAAATAACACCAGATATTTAAGAAATGTGATAGTTTAAAGAAAGTAAAAAGAATTTAGTCATCCTTGATTAGTCAATGTTTCGGATGTATGTATGGGTACTATAAAGGAGGGTGTACATGAATACCAGCTGGAAGAGATCTTCCTGAAGACTTAGACTCTAAAACATTCCAAGGGAGGTTGTAGAGTATGCTCACATTTGTTTAAAACAGGACAGAAAGGCAATCTTTCTTAGACAAATTWAAGAGAGCTCCACAAATTGAATAGAGCTCACAATTGCGTAGCTTTATTCAGATGAAAGCAGGGAGGAAGGAAAAAATGCTTAGAAATATAGTCTCATTATCTTTTAACAGTTTTAAAAATGCTTATTTCTTCTTGTGCTTTTTAAAAATTTCACTTTGTTTGAAGTATTTTTGGAAAACACAAGGGAAAATACACCACAATGATCCCCACTTATCCAGACAGAAYACATTTCAAGATCCCCACTGGATAACAAACTGCAGATAGTACCAAACCCTATATTTACTATTTTTTCCCACACATAAAATATGTATGATAGATTTATTTATAAATTAGGCACATAGAGAAATTAACAATAACTAATAATAAGAAAACTTTAACAATATATTGCTAATAAAAATTACATGAATGAGGACACTCTCTTAAAATACATTATGCTATGCCCATCCTTCCTTTTATAATGTAAGTTGACACMATGCCTGTGATGAGATTTCATCAATCAGAATGGTACACAATGAATTAGAACTTAGAAATTATTTATTTCTAGAATGTGCTAGTTAATATTTTCAGACCACTGTTGACCATGGGTAACTAAAACTTGAAAAAGCAAAACTTCAGATAAGGGAGACTACTGTAGCAGTGACATGAATCACAAGTTATTTTCACATGTAAAACAGCCCTGACATTCCTTTAGGAGCTTACATTCATTGCAGCATTGATTTTTGCAATAGTATCATCATCTGTTGGGAACTGGTATATCTGGACACCATTGCAGACCAATTCACTCATGAGCTTGATCTTAAATTTCTGTAATTCAGATTTAGAAATTGTATCTGCTTTGGCAATCACTGGAATAATGTTCACCTATTAGGTAGAAAGAAATACAAAATCATATAATTGAGGATTCATTTTTAATCTTGTAATTATTTGTTCATACAAAACCACCCAGTATCTGTAAATAAAATTCCTTACCCCAGACCAGATTGATAAACTATGTTCCAGCTTATATAAATAGACTTACTGGAACATCACCATGCTCATTCACGGGCTACATTCTTATTACAACAGCTGAGATTAGTAGATGCCACAGAAACCATGTGGCCTGGAAGCTTAATTTATTATCTGTCCCTCTACAGAAAAAAATAAGTAAATAAGTAGACCTCTGACTCAGATAATCATCAGCTTTCACTTCACACACACACACACACACACACACACACACACACACACACACACATTTTCTCTCTGTCTCTCTCAAAAACACACATATTCCTTACATAGTCATTCCTATAGATACTGGCCTCATAGTAACTGCTTTTAAAACGCAGACCCAATGAGTTGGGGGTATAGCTCAGTGGCAAAGCACTTACCTAGTATGTGTAGTATATGCAAGGCCCCAACACCATAAACACACACTAACAACAATAATAATAATACAAAGAAAGCAGAGCTCTTGTTGAGATTAACCTTTCAGGCCAGGCATGGTGGCACATGTGTGTAATTATAGCAGCTTGGGAGGCTGAGACAAGAGGAACAAGAGTTCAAAGCCAGCCTCAGAACTCATGAGGCGCTAAGCAACTCAGTGAGATCCTGTCTCTACAGAAAATACAAAATAGGGCTAGGGATGTGCCTCGAGTGGTTCAGTGTCCCTGAGTTCAATCCCGGTACCAAAAAAAAAAAAAAGAGAGAGAGAGAGATTGATTAATCTTTCATTAGGTTTAGAAATCTCATTTTCTTCTCTCTCCCTTGAAGTCTTACAATTCCATCACACAGAAAATATGTAAAATATAATAAAGAGTAAACTGAAAATGTCTGCTTAATTCACTAACAACTTTTATTTCTTAATAATATAAGCACTAAGTAATTAGTGACTGGTCCCTCAGCAAAATGAAAAAAACAAGTGACGTTTCTCTTTCTGCCTCCCATTTTAGCCCTGATTTKTTCCCTATCAGTGTCCCAGTCATCAAAGAATTCTACCTATATGGCACAGAAAGGAAACTGCACCAATACCAGCTACAAGTCTTCATGACACAAAGAAATAACTTCATTAGCATTATTCAAAGTTCTATCACTGCCAGGGAGAAAGAGATGAGGGATCCTGAAGATCAACTAACACATAAATAAATCTAGTCCTTTTAAGAGTGAGATGGCAATGTTAATTTCAAAATAATAAAAATAAAAAATAAAATCACTGAGCTACAGCCCCAGCCCACATTCTTAAACTTTTATCTTTTCCAATTTCACAATGATTCAGTATATGTACTTGGATATTTCAGTCTTCTATATGATCCAAGGAGACAGATGTTCTTCCAGCTAACTCAAATCAATGGTAGAAAACTTTACAATTGTGAGTAAACAGGTTTCATGATAAACTTCCTAAAAATTGAACACTGGTGGGCACCATGGCACACACCTGTAATCCCAGCAACTTTTCAGGAGGTCTGAGGAAGGTCTGAGCAGGTTCCAGGTCAGCCTCAGTAAAGACCTAAGTAATTTAATAAGACCCTGAATCAAACTAAAAAAAGCTGAGAATGTGGATCAGTAGCAAAGCATCTCTGGGTTCCATCCCCAGCACCAAGGGTTGGGGGGAACTGGATAACAAGTTCTTGGTTTCAGTATTCTATACTTACATATTCAATAAATTATGTCAGGTCAATAACTTCTGATTACTTCCACAATAAAATGCAGAAGTGAACTGAATGCTAAACATTAACATTTACATGCCTATCAAAGGGAGAGAAAAAAATACATACTGCCAAAGATGGACACTTTTCACCCTCTACAAAAGATAAAAGTAACTTTCTTAAAAAGTAGTCAAGTGTTTGGCTTACAGGAACAATAGAGAATTATCTTAAGAAAGGCTGGAGGGGGCTGGGGATATGGCTCAAGCGGTAGCGCGCTCGCCTGGCATGTGTGCGGCCCGAGTTCAATCCTCAGCACCACATACCAACAAAGATGTTGTGTCCGCCAAAAACTAAAAAAAAATATTTAAAAATTCTCTCTCTCTCTCTCTCTCTCTTTAAAAAAAAAAATTAAGAAAGAAAGGCTGGAGGCCTGAGGAACTAAGATCAATGCTCATTTTTATCTAGTACTCTTGTGTAAATTAGGCTCTAGGCCTGCCAGGTGTCTTGTGGGTAATAGTTGCTACTATAAAAATATTGCATATCCATATATGTTAAGTACCAAATGACATRATTGAAGCATGCCTCAAGTTTTCTCTTTAAACATGTACAAAAATTTAGTTATAACATTCCTGTCTGGTTTATACAATAGAAAACTAAAGGCAGGATTTTGATAAAGAAGTCCCAAGTTTAGCATTTTTCTCCCATCAACTGAATAAAGCAGAAGAGAGCAGCAAAATCTTCAACAGGGTAATGACAATCTTCAATGAGTGCATGATGCAGATTTTCTTTTATATTACCATAAAATGTTTCATTTTGTTTGAATGAAATACAGTATTATTTAAAAGATGACACTGGGACAAGGATGTAGCTTAGCGGCAGAGTGCTTGCCTAAAATGCTTGAGGCCCTGAGTTCGATTCCTAGCATTGCAAACAACAAAACAAGATTGTGATGCTTTCCAAAGTCTTTGGCAGTACATGATATGCATCTAGAGCTAGTTTTCTAAGAGTTTGCAGACTGGACTGCTGAACAAGTAAGTGATCATTATCTTTCCTGTTTATTCCTGAAAATCCACTAAGGGATCATATTAATATAGATTACTCCCTGCTAACTCTTCTCTAAGACTTGAAGGCTAAAGGTGGACATCAGGTTAGTAAGGACCTCTAATACCAAAATATGAATATTCTGAACAAGATTGTGCCTGCTAATTAAAAGTATTTTCAAGTAACAGAATAATAAGCAACATAGGTGTTTCCTATGTGCCAGGCACTATGATAAATGTTTAAAGTTATMGAGTAATTTTTTTTGTTTGAATTCTAATTTCAGGACTGTTCTTTGCAGCATGTATACAAAACAACTGACCAGAAAATACAGAGTATTCCCATATACCTCCTTCCCTCACACAGTTTTCCTATTAATAACATCTTCCATTTTTTGATACATTTATTTTTGGGTTTTTGTTTTGTTTTGTTTTCTTGAATTTTTTATTTGTTCTCTTTAGTTATACATGACAGTAGAATGTATTTTGACATATTATACATACATGGAGTGTAACTTCCCATTCTTGTGGTTGTATATGATACGGAGTTATACTGGTCGTACATTCATACATGTACACAGGAAATTTATAATTTATTCTACTGTCTTTCCTATTCCCATTCTCCCTTCTTTCCCTCTTCATTCCCCTTTGTCTAATCTAGTGAAATTCTATTCTTCCCTCCCCTCCCACCTTATTGTGTGTTAGCATCTGCATATCATAAAAAAAAAATATACAGCTTTTGGTTTTTTGGGATTGGCTTATTTCACTTAGCATATTCTCCAGTTCCATCCATTTATCAATAAATGCCACAATTTCACCCTTCTTTGTGGTTTAGTAATATTCCATTGTGTATATATACCACATTTTCTTTATCCATTCATCTGCAGAAGGATATGAAGTAATCTTTATAACAAGCATGAGCATGTACTCCTATTTTACAAATGTAAAAGCTAAAGCCTAGTTAGTTTGCTCCAAGAGGCAACAGCTGGTATGTGGTTGGACTGAAGTTGGACCAGTGAGTGTCCTATTTTATATTACTTTATATTTTATATATATTTAACTTCTTGTTTTGTTTTGTTTTGTTGTGTTTTGTATTGCAAGGGATTGAACCAAGGGCCTTGTATGCTAAGCTATAGTCCTATCTTTTTTATGAGATGGGTCTCACTCTGCTGAGGAGGTCAGCCTCAAAATCTTGGTGTGGAAGGATCGTCCTGCCTAGCTTCTGAAGCAGTTGGGACTACAGGTGTGCACTACCATACCCGACTCCTACTATCTATTTTATACTAGTGTATTAAGCCTGTAGACCTCAGCTAACTCTGAAACAGCATTCTTATACAAATAACAGAAGCAGGTACTTGTTTTTTATAAGGTAGTTTATAGTTTATCATAAAAAGTAAAGAACATCTTTAAATCATCAAAGCTGGAGATTATAAAATATATATTTATACACTGTACTAAAAAAAATTTATGAAATATAGCCTATATTCTGACCACTGAGAAATGTGAACCAACATATYTGCATGCCTATATATTTTGTATTTCATTTGCACAATATAACAGGGACTTTGTAATACATTATCTCATTTAATTCTCACAAAGTAATGATAGCTGTCTTACTAAGATTGTCTATTTGTTAAACCCTCTATTTACATGGATTAATTTAGTTAATTTTCATACCTGGGCCTTAAGGTAGGGCTTCTTGCTGGTTTGTACATAAGTACGAAAACTGAGACTCAGAAGGCTAAAGGCACTTGCCTAAGATCAAATAAGTAATAGGCGACAGATCCAACATTTAAAACCAGACTCCATAGGCACCAAATTATACTACTGTCTTTGGGCAGGAAGATGGGGGTGTGTGGACTGAACCCAGGGGTGCTTAACCACTGTGCTACACCCCCAGCCCTTTTYTGTATTTTATTTAGAAACAAGGTTTCGCAGAGTTGCAAAGTGCCTCCCTAATCTACTGAGGCTGGCTTTGAACTCGTGATCTCCTGCCTCAGCCTCCCAAGTTGCTAAAATTACAGGCATGTGCCACTGTACTAGTCTTTATTCACACTTTATACTACTGTCACGTTTCTTCTCTCCAGCTTATGTTGCATGCTCTTGTTTTGTTTTTTTTTTTTAACCTTTTATTTCTGTTTTATTTATTTATTTTTTATGTGGTGCTGAGGATCAAATCCAGGGCTTTACATGTGCTAGATGAGCGCTCTACCGCTAAGCCACAACCCCAGTCCCATGCTCTTGGTTTTATGTTCCTTTCACAAATATGAATTCTCACATAAGCAGACTCCACTATGAAGATAACTRGTTAAATGATTAAGTCTATCACATCTCTTCACATGATAAGTCTATTAACCTTCACCAAGTTTTTGCTAAAGCCTAGGGACTATGCCAAAAGTAAATCAACCTATGCACAAAGGTTTCACTAGTAGTCTTCATGCTTTCCACATCAATTATTGTATTACTATACAGAGGAACAGAACAACCAGAATGCCCTTATATTTTTAAACCATACCTTATAAAATTAGTATCCAGGATTCTGAAAGCTGCCTTTCTCGCTGCTTGGGATTGAATTTTCTTTTGGTATAAGACAGCAAGTAGTTTTAACTTATAAAGCAATATATTTAAGCAATATATTTAGCTTTAAATAAAAGTTAAACTTGAGTTGATTTACAGTCTTTTTAAAGGTCCCTAAATTTATAATGGCTCATACCAATTTACCTTGGTATGGCTCAAATTAAAACATATTTCACTAACTATGTGATAAAACATTGTACTTTGGTCTTTGTCAATGAAGTTCTTCCTCTTGCTTAATAGTGTTGTAACCTAAAACTAGTGTTACATAATTTCTATATTAAAAATAATGACACAGAACTTTTATTTTAATGTTTTGTATTTGCATCTCATCTTCCAAACTGAATTCCTCCAGAAAATAAGCTGACAGAAATGTATTAGATGTTTTAAAGATGTACAGATAAAAGTCACAATACATACACTATCTATCCATAAATATATTTAAGCAGTCCACACACATTTAATGTCTAATTTATTGATTACTTTCCTAACCCACCTTGTTGTCCAGATTCTTCATGGTTAAGAGGTCAAGTGTCTTCAGAGAGTGGCCTGTTGGAGCGATGAAGTAGAGGCACACATGGATGCGAGAATCATGGTAGTTGAAGAGAGAGCGCTTAATCTTCAGTTCTTCTTGGAGATAGGCTTCAAACTGAGCATTTATGTAGTCAACTATTGGTAAGTAGCTGAAAATATAATTATTTAAATATTTRATACAACATACCCATGCTACCTTGATAAGACACTTGTAAAATTCTTGTAAAACTCTCAATTTTGAGGTCTGTATTTTTACCAATTAATAAAGAGTTTATATGCTAACCTAAACACATAACTTTACTGAAAAAAAAATAATGTGTATAACATATACACAAAGGTAATATTCACAAACCATCAGAACAAACTGTGCTTGATACAGTAATGAATTATAATGATTCATTTCCATATCCGTTCACATGTTGTGTCCCATTATAATAAAGGTTCCCATACTTATCAGACTGCTCAAGAAAGCTAAGAATCTAGTTTGTAACCATGACATGTTATTTAACTAACTGAAAAAAGGCTCGGGGTATCAACTAAAAATATATTTCAATCAAAGTCCAGGACTTTCTCTAAATCAGATTTGTAAAGGCATGAACATAGTAAAGAGGAAAAGAACATCAGCTGAAAGTRTCTAGGAATACTGATTGGCATGGTTTTATTTTTCACTAATTATGAACAAAGAAATGGCCAATCATGTTCTCTGCTCCAAGTTCTTACTCAGATAACTCCCCCTTAGAATGTTGTCTTCCCTCTGGTTGTCTCAGTCTATTCATCCTTTAGGATGCAAATCAAATCACAAGGCACATGCAGGCCAGTGTGCTAACAGCAATTCAAGAGTAGTTTGTGAACATCCTACTACATTATGATATGTTAAATCACTGCCTATTCAACTTACCTTTCTACCCTTAACTATCCTCCTTAAACAAATCCAAGTGAAAATAAATAGCACATAATTCCTACCTCAAATTCCCTGGTCACCTTTGCAATCATCTTTGTAGACCAAAAAGAGCAGTACCTTGTGCAGCTAAAGAACTTGATAAATGTGGATAGAACTGAATTCTTCTATAAAGTTGCCTGACAATTCTAGTTCTTGAGGATCATCACCTCTTTTAAACCCACAGAATACCTTTTCTCCCTGTCCAGACGGTAAACAATGTGAAGACAAAGATCATATAATTCTGTTTGCTATAAGAACTAGAATAATAAAGAATTTACTTCATTATCAGAGTGATTATTATGAACATCAGTAAGTAATTCTAGGAAACTGGTTTAAATGTAACCTAACAGGATTCCCTTCCCAAAATAATAGTAAAATTTGTTTCAATTACATATTTGATATAAAAATTCCAAAGAAGCTTTTATTCATGACTTAAAACATGACCTATTGTGTGACCTACATGTGAATGTTCCTCTATCAAATGCCTTGCTTATGATTTTTGAAAATGAAATCCGTAAATTATTTTTTGCTAAATAAACAGAATATAAGAAATGGAAATAGTGAAATAGGAGGAAAAAAAAGGATAAAATTGAGAACAAGAAAGTCAAAACTTGGTATTTGAAGAGACCAAATAAACTGGCAATGCTCTGTTGAGACTCATCAAACAGAAAAAGAAAACAAGATGCTGGGGTTGTGGCTCAGTAGTATTGCCTTGCATGCATGAGGCACTGAGTTTGATCTTCAGCACCACATAAAAATAAATAAAATAAAGATATTGTGTCCATCTATAACTAAAAAATATTTAAAAAAAGAAAATGAAAACTAGTACAAATAATCAATATCTGAAAAGTAAAATAGGTATCATTACAGATGATATAGACAATACAAAGATAGTAGGAGTGTATTACCAATATTTTTAGGCTAATAATTTGAAAATTTACACAAAACAGATTCCTGGAAAAGTATAACACCAAAACGTTTTCAAAAAATAAAAAAGATCAACTCTAGAATAGTCCTATAAACACTAAGTAAAGTTAAGTAAGTCCAAATTAGCTTTCTTGGTTGGTTTTAGCAAACATCTCAGGGAAAACTAACTCTAATCCATAAAAATAGAAAAAGAATTAAAATTCTTCAATCTCATTTCAGAAAGCTAACAATATCTACTTATTTATTTATTTATGCTGGACTATACTAGGGAGGATTTGTGTATTTTGTTGAATAGTAAGGCGTGATATAGCTCAGTGGTAGAACACTTGCTTAGCATGTGTAAGGCTCTGGGTTGAATTCCTAGCATAGCAAATAAATAAATAAATGAACAATTACAAAAACACTAAAAGAAAAATACCGAATAGAGCACAATATGAAAAAGTGATCCCAAAGTGGTATCCAAGATTATAAGTTTAATTTAAAAAGGGCTGGGTACATAGCTCAGAGATAAAGAGCCCCTGAGTTCAATTCCCCAACATTGAAAAACAAACAAACAAAAACATTGTCTATTCATATTTTTAAAAAATGTACTACTAAAATAAACTTTCTTATTCTATCTAAAACAAAACTCAAAGTCAACAAACCAAAACTAGAACCAAAACCAAGAGAAAACAAAACAAAACAAAAAAACCCTAACACATGTAAAAAATACAGCTTTACCTCTAGGATGAGGATAAGGTGAAGATGCCCTCAATCACTCCTTAYTGTTCAACAAAATACACAAATCCTCCCTAGTACAGTCCAGAATTAAAAAAATAAATAAAGAAAAGAAAAGAAAAATAAACTGTCTCTACTCATTATGGGAATAACTGGGACTGAATTTACCTTTCCACCTAAAACCCAAAAACCAAGACAACATATATGAGAAAAGGGATTTTGGATGTTGGACAACAGGCAGTATAAAACTATGATCATTGAAAAAGGAATAAATGAGGGAAGCACTAAGATTTTTTCAGCTTCCAGCATGGAAACAGGTTTACTGGGCAGAACACTGAAAGACAGCAAGTAGCCTGATATATTCACCAAGATGCAAAGAYTAAGAAGTTTAGGGAGACCAAGATGACTGAAATCTGTGGGGCAGAACACTAGATGGAGAAGAGCTGCAGACAGAAAGCTCTGTGGATCTGAAGAGCATACTCCTAAAGTCTGTAGCTAAGGACTGATAGGCAAATGCCAAGCCCAAAGCCATTTTCTATATTAAAGAAATGATGGTGGTTACAAAACTACAAGTTTTGTCAAAACTAATTTTGAATTGTATATTTGATAGCAATGAAATCTATTCTATTTAAATTATGCATCAATAAATCTTTGTTAAAATAAAAGAAATTTAAAAACTGAAAAATATCTGGGAAAACACCTAATTCACAGCAGTAGTTTTTCTGGGGAGGAAAATGGGACAGGGCCTGAGGAGATGACCAAAGCGGGTTCCAACTGATATGTAGTGAAAACGTATCTACATATTATTTTGGTAATTGCCAAAAAACATTCCAACAAATAAATTAATGAAGAAAGGCAAATTAAAACTCAAGGATAAATTTACATAGAAAGCTAAATCTATTGTGAATTTATTTCATCCTACAAAGAAATTTAGTTAGCAGGCCAATTATGACACTATGTTTACGTTGAATTAAAAATACTTTCATTAGTTCTAAGTTGCTATCCATCTTACAAATATTAATAACATTTAAAACAAGGTATCAAAGGCTTTTATACCTGCCACTAATCCACATAAATAATTTCTTCATATTTAAAACACAATGCAGTGCCGAAAAGGCTATATGCAAATATATATCAGGTCAATTTGTGCAAAATATTTTCCCTCTAAAAAATTGCCTATAATAAGGAAAATATATACATTTCAAAAAACAACAAAAAGTAATTAATTTCACCCAATCTATTTACCCCTTTATTTCATAGCTTAAAGTTGATATAGAATCTATCATTAATCTTCATAATACTATAGGAAAATATAGAAAATATATACTAAAGTAAAATATAAATTAAAATTTCACTATTAAAACTTTCCTACAATGCTTACTAATATAACTATTTTAGTTGGCATATTGCAAAAATAACTCATGAACCATGTATTTGCCCATTGTATATATTTGCCCTTGTATATATTTTATTTTCAACAATAATCATCCTTGGTCTGAAAACTAATACCAATCACTGAATATACACCAAATATCAGGAAATAATTAAAACTATTTTTGCTAAAATACACATTTTAGTAATTTGATTCAAATTACTCTAAAGAAAATAGACAAGTTGGCAGAAAAATGTCAATTTGTTAATAAGAASGAAACATTGCTTAATTGCTAAAAAAAAATAATAATAATAATGTATGGGAGGAAAGATATGGATTGCCATAGAGGAAAATCAAACCAAAGCTTACAAGGCAAAAGGCAAATGTCTTGATCCTGAAATAAGACAACTTGTTTTAATACATAAAGAAAACACATACCTCTCTTCTTTATTTATTTGGTCACCAAATCCCACTGTRTTCACAATGGTCAGTTTCAACCGAACATTACTTTCCTGGAGTTCATATGTCTGAGCTTTAAGTCTAACATTTGGGCAAAAATGTGAGGCTTCATGTTCTTCAAAATTAGTATTAAACAATGTGTTAATCAGTGTGGATTTTCCAATGCCAGTTTCCCCTGAAAGAAAGAAAGGTACATCTTCATAGGCACATAGAATGGGTGAGAAGAAACAGCTGCGAATTCCCAGAGTCGTTTCAAGGATTGCAAATATTTTAAAGATAGGGTTGTCCATGAAAGAAATACATAATGCTGGTTCTAAGTCATCAGCAGAGAAATTAATGTGTATACTAAGTTACTCAGAATTCCGAAAAGAGCACTAAAATGTTTATGGAACAACAAAAGGTTTAAAGCTAAGAAAAACAAAACTGAAATAATTTAAATAAGTAAGAAAATCCCTGGGCTCATGATCTCAAACTGATAACATGAGCTTCATACTGCTTATACTAACAATGGAATGAGCACAAGGAACATGAGGAAGAATTCAGAGGAAGAGTTAGTGGCACTCACCAACACAGAGAATATTAAAACAGAAGCCTTGCTGAATGGATCTATTGACTAGCTGATCAGGCAAACTCTCAAAACCAACATGGCCACACATAGTCAAGGATCGGATATTTTCTCTTTTCTGAAGAAAACAAAAACAACAGCCACAGTTAAAATGACCTTGACTGAACAGGAAAAAGGCACACTTGAAAGGATGAATTTATCAAAGGAAGTAAAGATTTTACAATTATTACTATTCACCTAAGACAATAGTCAAGTACATTGTGAGGGGAAAAAAAAAATCAGTGTCCAGATCTTCAAAACACAAATTTCTTATTCCCTTCAATACAAAAGTCCAGCACAAATTTTAACAGTAAAACATTTCATTTCTAAAAACATTCAAATAAAATGTCATATTCACTCACAAAATGGAGAATTTAAAGTCATTGAATGTTTACGATAAATTTTTAATGACTTGGAAAAATCCTTCATTAAGACATGAAGTGAAAAAAAAGTACAATACAAAATTATAGTTTCAGCTCCAGTAGTGACAGTATAACTCACGTCAAACTTACCTCCCTGCTGGTAACAATTATAAGCAACTCTTTCAAGTCACAGGGACACAGACTCTGGAAAGAATGAAAACTCTAGAGGGAAGGGAATCTACTCTGTGAGATACACATTCACGTAGCAAATCCTTCAGGACACCCCTAATCACTTGTACTCTCCCTTGAGGGTACAAAGATGGAGCTCAGGAAGAACTGAAATAGTCTTACTGGGTTAAGAAGTCATTTGAAAATTGGGGCAGGAACACTGGCTAGAAATTGAGGGGGGTGGGGGAATTCCGGAATGGAAGAAGCCCAAAATATGCAAACACATTCCCCTCAAATACATGGTTGACTGCCAAACTGCACAAGGACAAAAGGAATACTGAGACTGTCATGCAGCACTAGGAGMTGAGCATTTTTAAAGAGTACCATCCTGGAAAGAAAGGAGGTTCTTAAATTTTAAGTCTGTAAGTTAAGGAGGCCTGAGAAACACCTCAATCTTAGATAGTCCACATTTTAGGATTAAGGACTATTTCCCAAGAATTAGAAAAGTTCCCTAGTATGAAGGCATGACTGAAATAGACTGGCCCTAACCAAGCCTATAACCAAGTCTCAAAGTGATCAATGTGATAAGACAGCAATTTATCAGCCTGTTAGAACGAAGCTGGAAAAAGAATCTAGCACCTCCATGATACATACTATATAATAAAAAAGAAAAATTATATTATATATACTATGGTATTATTTGAAGGTAAAATGTGATAAATTAAAGCTTAGATCAACATTTTTAAAAAGGAAAAAATAGAGTGGAGATAAAATGGAACCAATCATAAAAATACTCATTAATCCAAAAAAGGCATAAGATATCATTGGATGCACATAAAATAACTAAAATTTAAAAGACTGATGATGTCAAGTGTTGAAGATAGAAGAACAAATGGAATGTTGAGAATGTGCTGGTGCAAATACAAAAATGGTACAGTGAATTTGCAAAAATGTTAGATAAAAACAAAAATCCAACCTGGAGGTTAAAACATACATCCAAACAARGACACACATTCATAGCAGTTTTATTCCTAATAGTCAAATAGTAGAAACAACTCAAATGTATAAATAGATATACAAATTAAAGCATATACTGATACATGCCAGGACATGCACAACTCTTTAAAACTAAGTATCCAAACAGTGATTTATTTACTGTGATTTGTGTGAAAATAAACTTTTTTTTATGTATGTATATATTCTTATATCTCTATGAATATGGAAGGAAATGTCTCAAAAGGTAGTGACAGACTAACCACTAGGGAGGAGACACAGGTCAGGTGAGAAAGGATTGCTTTTTACTATGTGCAGTGGGCAGAATAATGAAATAGCCTCTGGTATGCATACATCTTCTCTCAGTTATTTAATAAAACTAATCTAGGTTCAGTTGAGAAAACTTGCATATGTGATGTAGGTGCCAACTCAGGTAGCTCTAGAAAAAGGACAATCATAGGTATGCCCTGACCTAACGAGGCAAGCCCTTAGGGCCTGGGCATTCCTGGCTAAAAAGATCTGGGGGGGTGTGGGGGGGGATGTGGCTAAAAAAATCTGAAACACAAAGAAGATAAGACCTGCCAGAAGTTCTGCCTGGTTGGCTTTTAGAATAGAAGAGGCCATGTGGCAAGGAAAAGAAAATGGTCTCTGGGAACGAATGGAAGGCCAGTCAACAAGGAACTGCATTCGGCCAGTAACTTGAAAGAGCTTGAAGGGGAGCTCTGCATAAAAACCCAGCCATCTGAAACCATCTTGAAAACAAGAAGGGACTCTAGCTATGGGAGCCCAGAACTAAAGGAAATTATTTCATCTCATTGAATTACCATGCTTTACTTGCAATTTTCTGTTTTTAACAGCATAGCTCTTTCATCAAGTTAAATTTACCCCTCTTTTTAAATATAACTTCTAATATGCATTACCAAACCATTCCTACTGTACAGGCACACTCAGAAGGACCTTGGAAACATCAGGTCTAATCTTGCAGCAGAAAAGCATCTGGCGAGGCCACCCAGTTGGTCTCCACATTCTGTCATCCAAAGTTGTCTGCCCCTACCATGCTCTGCAATGTGCCCACCCAAAGCAGTGCTAGTCTTTATTTCTTCCCCTCCCAGAATTGTGCTGGAAACTAACCGTGGTAGTCTTTTTATGGAACGTTGTTGTTGAAGCACCTGGAGTTTTAATCTGCTTAAAACCAGAAACAAAAGAACTAAAAAATAAATAACAAGTGAAAAAATAAATAGAAAACAATTTAATAGGAACATTATGCATACTCAACAATTAATTATTCAATCTATCACTGATATTTCACTTGAATCAAGAGAAAAGTTAATTCATAAATACAAACAAGCCTTTACATAAGAGTCTACAAATTCTATAAGTAGTTATTTTTAAATCATAAAAGTATTTAGGGACAATATGTAATATATTAAAAAAAGACTCACTCTCTCTTCAGCTTCACATAATGGGGAGGGCATAGAAGCTGTTCTGAATGCCATGTGAGAATGAAAGAACTGGAAAAGAAAAAAAAAGACTTTAAAAGTAAATAAATAAAATAAAGATATATATATATATATATATATATTTAATAAAATACTCTACAAGCCAAGGTGGTACTCAAAACTAGTTATGGTCCACTGCGGCATGCCAGGGAAATAGAAATGTTAAGAATGATCCAAGGGCTGGGAAAGTATGGATATTAAAACTTGGACAAGTCCCTTAGTCACCCAATTAAAATTAAAATAACTTTTGGGTATAGACCGAGGAGGAAAGGGATAGCTGGGTCAAATGGTAGTTACATTCCCAGTTTTCCAAGGAATCTCCATACTGCTTTCCATATTGGCTGCACCAATTTGCAGTCCCACCAGCAATGTATGATTGTACTTTTTTCCCCACATCCTCGACAACACTTATTGTTGTTTGTTCATAATACCTGTCATTCTGACTGGAATGAGATGATATCTTAGAGTAGTTTTGGTTTGCATTTCTCTAAAATGATTAACATTTTATCATATATTTATTGATTGATTGTATATCCTCCTCTGAGAATTGTTTGTTCAGGTCCTTGCCCCATTTATTGATTGGGTTATTTGGTTTTCTTTTTGGTGTTTTACTTTTTGAGTTCTTTATATACCTTAGAGATTAGTGCTCTAATGTGTGAGGGGTAAAAATTTGCTCCCAAGATGTAGGCTCTCTATTCACCTCACAGAYTGTTTCTTTTGTTGAGAAGAAACTTTGTAGTTTGAACCCATCATCCCATTTATTGATTCTTGGTTTTAATTCTTGCGCTGTAGGAAGTCTTAGTAATGATGARGATTAGGGCCTACTTTTCCTTCTATTTAGACAGTCTCTGGTTTATTTCTTAGGTCCTTGATCCACTTTGAGTTGAGTTTTGTGCATTGCTTATAGCAGCACAATTCACAATAGCAAAACTGTGGAACCAACCTAGATGTACTTCAGTAGATGAATGGATAAAAAAAATGTGGCATATAACAATGGAATATTACTCAGCAACAAAAGAGAATAAAATCATAGCATTTGCAGGTAAATGGATGGCCCTAGAGAAGATAATACTAAGTGAAATTAGCCAATACCAAAAAAACAAATACAAATGTTTTTCTCTGATATAAGGTGACTGACTCATAGTGGGGTAGGGAGAGGGAGCATGGGAGAAATAGATGAACTCTAGGTTCATCTTACAGAGGGGTAAGAGGGGAAGGGAGGGGGCAGGGAGTTAGCAAGGATGGTAGAATGTGATGAACATCATTATCCAAAGTACATGTATGAAGACACGAGTTGGTGTGAACATACTTTATATACAATCAGAGATATGAAAAATTGTGCTCTATGTGTGTAATAAGAATTATAATGCATTCTGCTGTCGTTTATTTTAAAAACAAATTAAAATAAAATAAAAACAACTATTATTTATAGAACTCCTATGCCCATCATTGTGTTAGCTCATAAAGTACAATTTCTTTTCTTTTTTTGTTGTGTGTGTACTAGGGATTAAATCCAGGGCATCACACATGCTAGGCAAGTGTTCTACCAATGAACCACATTACCAGGCCCTCCCCACTCTACCACCCCTTTGGTACCAGGGATTGAACCCAGGGGCGCTTAAACACTCTGCCACATCCCTGGTCCCTTAAATTGCTTAGGTCCTTTATATTGCTGAGGCTGGCTTTGAACTTGTAATCCTCCTGCCTCAGCCTCCGGAGCCACTGGGATTACAGGTGTATACCACTGTGCCCAGCTTCCCAATCCTTTTTATTTTGAAACAGGGTCTCACTAAATTCCCAGGCTGGCCTCAAACCTGCAATCACCCTGCCTCAGCCTCCCAAGTAGCTTGGATTACAGGCATGTGCCATTGTCCCTGACTTAATACAATTTCTTATTTCATCTTTATAACACCCTGAGCTATACTTACTACCATTTTCACAGCTTAGATGAGAAAATTAGGAATCAGAAAGGCTGAATAATCATACAATYCAGTAGCTGTATACACAGGTCTGATCCAACTGCAAAGTTGGTGCTCCTTCTAAATGGCCCAAGTTGCAAACCAAATACCAAATGTCACTTTTTGCAACAATAGAAAATGATGGATGAGAAGTATTGTGATATAGATATGAGGAGTCCCTTAAAACTCATGTGTGAGGCAATGCTTTCAGAAGTGAAATGATTACATTATGACAGCTCTTGCCCAATCCGTGGACTAACACACTGATATGAAAACTGGGTGGTAACTGCAGGCAGGTAGGGTGTGGCTGGAGGAAGTAGGTCACTGGATATACCTTTGGAGGTTATATTTTGTCCCTGGTGAGTGGTATACTCTACTTCCTCATTGCCACGTCCTGAGTTGCCTTCCTCCAGCAACCCTTCTGCCATAACATTACCATAGACTCAGAGCTACAGAGTTGGCTAACCATGAACTGAATCTCTGAAACTGTGGGCCAAAATAAACTTTTTCTCCTCTAAATTGTTCTTGTCAGATATTTTGGTCACAATGACAAAAAGCTAACTAAAACATGAGGTATAAGTGAAGCTCTGTTCATTTCAAGGCACTTGCTAACCTAGTGCAGCATAAAATACAATGAAATGCAACATTTTAAAGAGTAATACTAAACTGGGCCTAGTGGTGCACACCTGTAATCCCAAAGACTCAGGAGGCTGAGACAGGAGGATTGCAAGTTTGAGGTCAACCTCAGCAAGGTGGTGAGACCCTCTTCTCAAAAAAAAAAAAAAAGGCTGAAGATGTAACTCAGTGGCAAAGCACTGCTAGGTTAAAACCCCAGTACCAAAATAAATAAATAATAATAAAATGAAAAGGAATATTAAAAAGCCAAGGATATAGCTCAGTGGTAGAGCACTTGCTTAATATGTGCTACAAGACCCTGAGTTCAAGCCCCAGAACTGGAGAAAAAGAATGTACCTGTATATATATATACACACACACATATATACACATATACTTAACTGTATATGAATGAATGTAGTAAAATAAACTATATAAACAGTACCAATAAGAACAGTGCAAAATGAATTCCCTTCTCATCCCTGATTCCCTAAACTCAGATCTTTTGCTGGGATACTACCAGCCTTTTATGCATCYTTCCAAAGAGACTATACAAATGTAAGCACACATGCTGGTACAGGGCTCTTTCCTATATATAATGGTAGCATCTGATACTCTGCACTAGGKTTTTTTGTTTACTCTCTCATTCTATGGTATAGTGTCCTATTCTCCACACTACTATACAGTACACATGGACGCTCTCTCTTTACTGTGACTTAACAATACAAAAATGAGCGTTTTTCAAATCTTTATTAACTAGATGAATGCATTCTTCCAATATCTATTATTATGTAGATAGGATTCTGTCCCTAGAAGTTCATTGTTTTATCCAAGGAAATGCCATAAGTCATTTGCAGAATGTTTCCCAGTAAGGGAAGGAAAGTTGTTATCAAGATGGTATCAATTTGGTTGGGAAGAACCAAACATTTCCCCACAGCTAGCTGGCAGGAAAAGGCCAGTCTCCCAAGGGCCCTGGGACAAAACATGTGCCTCTGTTTGTATTGCTCTCCCTGTTCCAAACTGAGATTTTAAAGAATGTAGAGAATCTGATCCTTCTCCAATTAGCCCAATGTTCTGGCACTTCTTGCTGTGATTCATTAAATACTACAACTTTTTATAAAAGTATTTGTTAGACTTTGGTAGGAGTTAAATTACTGATATCTGGGTTTTTAAAAATATGTATTTGTGTGCACTATACATATACATACATAAATACTCACACACACATGAAATATAAACTACAAAAAAGGCAAATTGGGGGCTGGGGTTGTAGCTCAGAGATAGAGCACTTGCCTAGCATATGTGAAGCACTGGGTTCGATCCTCAGCACCTTAGATAGATAGATAGATAGATAGATAGATAGATAGATAGATAAATGTCCACCAACAAGTTAAAAAAAATAAAAATAAATATATATATATATATATATATATATATTTTTTTTTTTTTTTTTTTAAGTCAGGGGTAGGTTGTGATTTTGTTAGTGCCTTACTTTTGTTCTTTGGAAAGAGATTGTCACTGACTGTTACAAATAGGAAGAAGATCACTGGATCATTGACATTATGAGACTCATAAGGTCAAGGGTCATGTCTTACTCCTTCAGAAACTCCAAGCGGCTAGCAGCTAGCGCTGTGATTTATTCAAAATAAGTAGAATGGTGAATGGCCTAGCATATTGGAATTCCATTTGCAGGATTTTTTTTTTATGTAAGATTTCTTAGGAATATATCAAGCTCTTTGTATGCCAACTGAGGCATTCACTCAATTATCATTCTCTTTGTTATTTTACCTTCAATGATGTCCTGCTAACTTCTAAAAACTGCTTCTAAAGTAAAACTTGTTTTGGAAATTTGAGTTGACAAGTAGTAACAGTAGAAAATATTAAAAACAATTATTCATATTACTTTTATTTTTTTAAATATTTATTTTTTTAGTTGTAGTTGGACACAATACCTTTGTTTTATTTATTTTTATGTGGCGCTGAGGACTGAACCCCAGGGCCTCACATGTGCTAGGTGAGCGCTATACCACTGAGCTACAACCCCAGCTCCTCCTATTACTTTTATATGTCTTATTCATGCTTCCTGGTCAGAACATTTACACACTAAGATTTTATGTAGGTTTTGGCAGACGTTCAAAACTACAGAAAATGGGGCCAGGGTTGTGGCTCAGTGGTAAAGCACTTGCCTGGCATGTGTGAGGCACTGGGTTCAATTCTCAGTACCACATATAAGTAGATAAAATAATAAAAAGGTCCATCAACAACTAAAAAATATTTTTTAAAAATACAGTAAATAAGCTGGGTACAGTGGCACACAACTGAAATCCCAACAGCTTGGGAGGCTGAGACAGGAGGATCTCAAGTTCAAAGCCAGCCTCAGCAAAAGTGAGGCACTAAGAAATTCAGTGAGACCTGCCTCTAAATAAAATGCAAGTAGGG